CACACAGATTAAGTTAAAAGTATATTTAACCCTGAGTAAGAAAGGCTTTGGAGAGAAAATGCTAAGTGAGACTCAGGAGCATGATGAGGCATAAACCCCATTTCATTTTTGACAACCTAACAATTAGGCCTTGAATTGCCAAAGCAACAATAACGGCGATAAACAAATGAAGAAACAAATACTTTTGTCGTTAATACTGACCATAGCTTTTGTTGTGGGAATATTTTCCTTATTAGCTGATTCTGAGATAATCTCGGAAGGAGAAGATGAAAAAGTGACTGATTGTCTTGAAGGCAGGAGCAAGCTAGGAGACCGATATTTAATAAAATCAGAAATATTTAAATCTTTTTCCAGGGTGGCCGAAGCACCGAGAGTGATAGACGAAGGCTTGAGTACTTCTTTAGGTAGCCTGCTTGTGCATGGAGTGATTGTCACTATATTAGATTCATCAGAGCGGGAAAATGGTGGTCGGAAGGAGGAAATTGGATTGGAGATACTCATTGTGGGCACGTTTGTGTAGGCCAAAGAGGTACTGACATTTGAGGAAGAAGCTATCGTAAAAATTGGTGGAAGGAGAATAAGACCATTAGCCAGATAGTTTGCAGGCTGCAAAACCCCTTCCGTCGAGCGACATGGGTGTTCGACTTTAAAACGCTGTGCACGTCCGGTGCATGAAAGCTTCTGATGTTGTGGACTTTGATGTTGTTTAAGTGGCGTCTGCTCTTGAACTCTTGGCTTTCCGGTGTTCGAATGTGGCGGGCAGGGCAAGTATATGAGATGGCTTTGTTGCTCCTGTTGCTCCGGTTGGTGTAAAGGATTGTTTAACAAAGGATTTAGTTGAATATCCACTGGATTATTTTGGTGATAGGTTTGCGACTGGTTACATATTGGTTGGAGAGGTCGCATTTGACCCAAAACACCTAATGACTGTTCTAGAGAGCCAACTTGTAAAAGCTGCTGCCCTAGTTGCGGTTTAAAGGAGAATCGGACTACGTTAGTTGGCAAAACTTGTCTTGTTTGATAGAGTGGCAGCAAGTTCAGAGTTGATAGCAGAGGAGGTTGTCCAGGCTGCAGGGAAACCAGCTGGGGCTGATGTTGCTCATGGTTCTGAAGATGAATCTGAGTAGTTGGTAAGGGCAGAATCGATGATAGGCTGATACCAGGCAGAAGGGGAACCGATGATGGCGAACCGAGTATGGATGAAGAAGATATAATTGGCGTTGAGAGAATAGGGGAATTTTCCTCATCGCAAACCGATTCGTCCAGATCAACTTGAAATTGGTGCTGTAGAGTAAAAAGGTCCATATAGGAATCAATAACAGCAAAAAATATGTATAGCGTGAAATTGCATAAAAGTCACTTAGCCTCTATTAGATATAAGAAAGAATATGTTAGGTAGTCATGAACAATTAAGTCATACATTGTCTGAGGTTGAACATTAAACGAGTTTACCGATAGTAATGTAACTTAAATTACATTTTCTTCAAAATAGTGAAAGTAATATTTGGTTTGAAACGAAAAATTATCAGCGGCTTTGTGAGGATAACAACGTAGCTCATAGTTTGTGAGAATGTCTTCCAGTTTGGAACCAAAACAGACAGCGAATTCAACAAAGTAATTTGACGCTTTTAATCACAGATAGGAAGCGCCTTAAAATACTCGCAAATAAGAATTCGAAACTTATTCATATAGTATATGATCGTATCTATCTTAGAACAGTCAAAAATACTTTGTGACGGAAAAATAAAAACCATTTAAATGACTAGATAATGTAGGAGTATAATCAGTAAATGAAGTAACGGA